AAAGATGATGAGAAACTGACTTTTTTCTTTGTAATATTCAAAACTTCTTACTTTTCCTTCTGTACACTGCACTTGGGACTTTTACTACGTAGTGGAAAAATGGACACTGGTTGTTATGTTCGTGATCATAAAAAGAAGATTTACATTTTATATGATGTTTATACTTAAATTTGGTAGATTGTTTTTCTCACATCACAGACATTGTTGTTTATTCCTTCTTACTGATAGTTCATTTCTTTTATCATTGATGATCTTTACATTATGCAATTTACATTTACATTATGTCCATTATGCAAGCACAGTTGTAATTTTACAGTTTAATCTTATTTTAACTTGTTAAATCAATTCATTACACTAATCCTGACCTGTGATTTTCCTATTTTGTTCTGTCCTTGGCTCATTTTTACTTCAAGGTTATGCAATTCTCATAAAATATGCTGGGAAATAATGTCTTTTTCTAGTCTTGAAAAAGCTTATGTAAGAAATGTTAACAGTAAAATCTGACATGAGACTCTCTGGGAGTTGACTTTTAACTACAGATTCAGTTGTGGTCTTGACATAGTAGAGATTTCTATTTCCTCCTCAGTTGTTTCTGTGTTTTTGAAAAGCTCTTTACAATTCCTTTATAAACGTGCTGACCTAAAGTATGCATAATATTTAAAATTTTATTTTCAATGTCTCTGACAACAGAATTTGTTCTCTTTTCTCTCTCTGTTTTTCTCAATATTCTCTGCTGCCGCCCTCCCCCCCCCACACACATACTTTTTGGTAAATCTTTCCAGAAGTTTCTCTCTACAAGCCTTTGAAATTTGATTTCTATTTTTATTTACTTTTATAATTGTTTTATTTCATCTTTTTGGATTTATTCTGTTTTTTTTTTTTAATTTAGGTTGGTATTTATGCCATTTATTTTAAGCCCCACCTCCCCACCTCCAGGGATTACTTTTCTCTTTCTAAGACTTGCTTTGATTGCAGCCTACATTTTTATAATCTCCTTTTGAGAATTTCATATATGTGCTACATTTACACCATTTCTGCCCCACCTCTCCTCTTTCTAACTCTTGTGACCCCCCTGCACAAGTATATACCTTTTATCCTTACTTTTTTATTGTCACGTATACACATGTGTATAAATTTATATCTACCACCCCCAGAGTTCATTTAGTGTTGCTTACATGTATGTGCATTTAGGACTGACCACTTGAGATTGGATGGTCTATCAGGAAGCTTATCCCTGGAGAAGCCTGGTTTTCTCTCTTTAAACAGCCATTAATTCATTGCCTGAAGCTCTTCATCTAGGGTAGAGGCCTTCCTACATTAGCGTGTTAACTGGTGTCATTTTTCAGGTATTGTTGGGTATTGTGGATTTCATGGGTACAGCTGCTTTTTCATGTATAGAACACAGTGTCTCATAGCAGACATCCCGATTCACTAGCTCTTACACTGTGCTCCTCTTCTGCAGTGCTCCTTACACTCTGCTCCTCCTCTGTGGTGCTCCTTACACTGTGCTCCTCTTCTGTGGTCCTCCTTACACTCTGCTCCTCTTCTGTGGTCCTCCTTACACTGTGCTCCTCTTCTGTGGTCCTCCTTACACTCTGCTCCTCTTCTGTGGTGCTCCTTACACTCTGCTCCTCCTCTGTGGTCCTCCTTACACTGTGCTCCCTCCTCTGTGGTCCTCCTTACACTGTGCTCCCTCTTCTGTGGTGCTCCTTACACTGTGCTCCTCTTCTGTGGTGCTCCTTACACTGTGCTCC